TATATATATATATACTGGATGTGTTTTACAGAAAACAGAAGTTGAAGTCAGCATTGATGAGCACCCCCTACTGGCTGGATAAATAACTAATAAGGAACCCGTTCCTTTATGTAAATAAACAAGACATTTTCCTGACTAAAATTTCTAAAATAGACCTCAGATAACATTTTCGAGGTGTTGATTTGTACAGAGACGGCGAGGGGACATGGACGATTTTCTTTTTTTCTTTTGTGTTCCCACGCAATAGTATTGTGTTACCTCACAATGCCTTTTGCGTTCCCTCGCAAAAGTTGTTTACTGTTGTGCCAGAAGGTTTATTAACAAATTCACATGCTCACCATTAGAGAGTAAGCCTACTACTTTAATTCAGCTTCGGAATGAATATATCACACAGCCATGCATGGAAGTATGCAATTTGCCGATATTTGYAACACAATGCAGCCACGCAACATCAAGGTCAATTTTACAAACTTGTAGCAACACATCTTGTTTTGGTGACTGGATATTTCAAAATAAATGTCTGATTTAATTTATTAAATACAAAACAAACTTTTGCGTGGGAACACAAAACAATATTGCAAGGGAATGCAAATGTTTGTGAGGTAACACAAAAAGTATTGCGAGGTAACGCAATATTATTGCGTGGAAACGCTAAAGAAAAATATCCCCCCATGTCCCCTTTCGGGCTCCATAGCCTTTTGTCAGCTTGGGTTTGCTCTTACCTGCATTTTTTTCCCAGTCTGTTTAGTTTTAATTAGGCATTGGAGGTTTTAAGAAAAACATCATTTTATAAAATGAAAACTTTTTTATATATTTTGAAAAATGGAGATTGGGAGTGCAGATAAAAAGGGTTAAAATATTAAACAAAGCACAATACACACAAAAACTAAACTGAATGAATAATTGAAATGCATTTTTTTCTGTTTTCTTGACTGTTCTTGTGGGTGGATATTTTTTACAGCGTGCAGSGAGAAAGCAGAACTCTGATATAATGGAGCTGTGTTTTCCAGCAAAATCACAGAAGCAGATACAATTTGTATCAATACTTCACGTTTGTGCCCTTCATTGCTCATCTTATTACTGTTTCAGTGCATCAACTCAGAGTTTTATGGGTTTTTTATAATAAACAGAAGGTTAAACCCAGAAAATCTTAATTTAAAATAATAAATATCTGATACAGAATAAATAGACTCTGTATTCCAATAAAACAAGAAATACCTTGATCAAACTAACTTAGAGATAGAGTGAGTTCAGTTACCAAAGAGAGACTGTATTCCTCCACATCCAGAGGAGCTAGTTTAGGTGGTTCAGGCATTTGGTAAAAGCCCCATGGACATCTCCATAGGAGGTGTTCTGGACATGTCTTGGAGAAGACCCAGGACACGATGGAGAGACTAGCCAGCCTGGCCTTATTCTACCCCGGCCCTGKTTGTGTTTGCTTTGAGCAGAGAGACTCCTCGATGTGGGCAGGGATAATCATTTTTAAAAATGTGCAATTTTTTGTTTTTGTTTGGGACAACAATGAAYGACACCAAGTTTAAAGGAAAAGTATCAAGGATTGTACTGCATCACCCAGCAGTACGACACTGAAGATGAGAAGGTAAGACGATAGARGACAGTAAGCTAATGTTRGCTAGTTGTTGCCTGGTAGCTTGCAGTTGTTGTTTCGTTGAACTTGTGTGATTTATTTACTTATTTTTTACAATCGTTAAAAAATGATGTAAGGAAAGACACTCTCGTTTGTGGGACGTGAACCAATTAATGGGCAACAGTGACTAAAGATATTACAGACCAGAACAGAACCACAGGCCTTGGGATGGATGGATGGATGGATGGATGGATGGATGGATGGATGGATGGATGGATGGATGGATGGATGGATGGAT